CCAATGGAAAAAAACTACTACTGCTTTCATGTTAAGCCTAGTTCATTTACGTGTGTAAACTTGGTTTATTAGAATTCAGACGTGAATGTATCTACAATATGGTGCCATAAAATCTGCGCAATCTGTACATAAATCCCACAACGCTTAGTGAATTCTTTATCTAAACTGTAGAAAATAGTTTTAAGCGGAAAATTGCGTGTAAATTTCACATTTTATGACAACATCCATATTTATTAAAGTTTGAAATAACCAGGCCTGCTTGATGTTCCTGTATTAAACAGCCATCAAACATAACACTTTGAACACAGTATCTCTTTGAAATGTAGGCAAATTAGTTTTGTGGTATCGATTTAATAGTATTTTACACGTAAAAGACAGCAGTATTTTCTTTTGTGAATTATGAAAACATTTTAACGTTGTTTGAGATGTCATTGAACGACTGGATGACGCATGCCAGTTATAGCCTTGTTTTTGTCAAATTTGTTACATTTTGAAACCTCAGTTCTTTATGCCAACATTCGGAATGCTGTGGACGGGAGCTCTTCGCCATTATGATGTCAAGATGGATAACTGTACATGAGTTGCTTCCCTTTGATCAGTTGCCATTCAATCTGCTGCTCTGACGTTCAACAACCAAATCCACTCGTTGTCTCCACCAATAACTTAAGTAACTGGACTTCAACTTGACCCAAATAATTTGATATATATATACTAGCTAAAGGGTCTATAGCATACTTTTATTTTTATCACTGATTATATCAGGGATAATCTAAATAGTCTCCCTGATTATATTTAAAGGTCAAGATTCTATTTCTTGTGTAACACAGGAGCCCAAATGTTCAAAGTATAACAAAAACCAAGATTATGAGTGAAATAATTTTAGCAGCAGTTTTGTTTTACTTCTAAAATAAACACATGTAGGAGTGACATAATGCAGGTATCCTAATACACCTCTGACATTACAATAGTGTTTTGCCATCAGTTCACATTCATAACTATCCCAGTAACTGTAACATATAACAAGACACAATGTACTGCCAAATGCGAGTATTAATATAAACTCTGAACACATCAGGGGCAGTGGGGTAGGCTTGTGGTTAAAGCATCTCTCATCATGCCGAAGGCCCGGGTTTGATTCCCTACATGGGTACAATGTGTGAAGACAGTTTCTGGAGTCCCTCACTGTGATATTGCTGGAATATTGCTACAAGCCATGCAAAACATACTCAGTCAGTCAGTCTGACCATATCAATGCAAGGAAATTACTCAAAAGGGTGAGTAAATGTGTTTTTTTTAACCAATCAGCAATAATTGAGCTCTATCACAGACACCAGTAAAATCTCAAATATGGGTCAGTCAAACCACAGGTTGCCAGTATGAGCATATATCATGACATGCAAGCAACCAGGGCCCCGTTTCACAAAGCTCTCGTAGGCCTAAGATCTCGTAACTTTTCTCGTAGCATTCGTACCTCCTATACTGTAACATAGGGAGTACGAATGCTACGAGAAAAGTTACGAGATCTTAGGCTTACGAGAGTTTTGAGATAGGTGGCCCAGGTCACATGGGATGTGCCCAGTCCTCATTGGTGTAGTTTCTGTACAATCCCAAACATGGGTACAGATTCTGGTGTCCCCTGCCTCGAGTATTACAAAAGCAGCATAAAGCCTAAGTAACTATTTCTAGGAGCATCTGTCAGGAATCTCGGTTCCAGTTCTAGTCAACCTATGCAAAAGAAGAAGCCTAACCCTTTGCCATAGTCTGTAACTATGTTGTTTCCTTCCCTGATTGGACCGCCTCCATGGTGTAGTGGTTAGAGCGTCCGCCTGGAGAACGGAAGGTCGCGGGGATCGATCCCCCGACCAAAAGACGTTAAAATATGGTACTTGTTGGTCCCTGCCTGGCGCTCCGCATTAATTGGTACAACAAGGACTGGTCGGCTCGGAGTCAGTATAATGTGTCTGAGTAGGGTATTCATGCTCCACTGCGGCATGGTATCTCAGTGGGCTAGCACTATAAAACCAGCTTCAGTCTGGGCTAGTACAAGGAGCCGCACATACACATACACACGCATGCACGTCGTCATATGAGCGAAATATTCTCAAGCACGACGTTAAACCCAATTTCACCTCACCTCACCTCCCTGATGGTGTGGGATGCTCATTATATCAATCACTAGTCTGTCTAGTCCAGAGTCAGTTATTTACAGGGTGCCAGGATAGCTGGAATACTGCAGAGTCCTGCATTAATTACCACATGACAAGCACTGGATGCTGGGAAACAACTTTTCTTAGAATTCGTAACTGGAGCAGTCATGTAAGTTTTTGAAAAGATTAAATGTCATGGTAATGATTCATTGCTCACTGATAAGCATTGTTATAAATGGGATAATGAAAATCGGTTGTGGTTATAAATATTACAAAAATCTGCGTTATAAACCATATCATGTGTGATCACTCACAAGTGGGGGGAGAAGAGCTACTGCGTCAGTTCACCACAGTTGCCTCCCCTTGATTGGTCCTCTCTCAAGGCAAGTGGATGAAATTACTGATACACTGTCATGTTTTTTATCCTTGGAAAAGCTCATATTAATGATAAACTTTTCATAGAAAAAAATATAATTTGAATTAATGATGATATAATTTTTATTGTAAAAAAAAATGTAATTCCCGTTTTCATACATTTCATTCCACAACAGGCCCCCCAAATCTGTCATAAATGACGTGGTAAATGGTGATTTTCTGCAGCCCAATTTGAAAAAAAAAGCCATTTCTCTCTTGTGTCTGGAGAATTGAGTCGTCCGGGCAATTTGAATGAATCTAAGTAAGGCTTGAAGCTGAGACTCTTCATCCTGGTCGTGAGGCTGAGGTGGATAAACTGAAATTCTTAGTTCTGATTGTGAACTCGGAGGCTAAGGTTGTGACAAAAGGGAGGTTGTCACTATGTGACTGTGGTTGTAAATAATAGGCTGTGGTAACTGAGACAGTAAATAAGTCAATGTGGACACAACTGTTTGATGGAGGTTACAAATGTGTGATTGGAATGATGTTGACAATGGTGACAAAACAGTTGCAAATGATAGACTACAGTTCTAACTGGGGAAACTATAGTAGACAATTGGCGACTGACACTTTAAATGAGCTAATGAGGCTACAAATGTCTGATTGATGTTAAAAATGTCTGAAGTTGTAAATGGGTGATTGGTGATGGCGATGGTGCCAGAGGTTGTAAATGATAGAGGATGGTAACCAACTGGGGAGGTAGCTGGGAAACTAAGGTTATAAACAGGGGACTAGGTTATGAGGGCAAAGATTTGAGTTACACAACGACAGAGTGAAGCAAGAAAAAAGTTCACTGTTCAAGGTGTAACTTCAAAATTGATTTACCCTTTCATAAGTTCTCCATACATAATTACTGCCATTATGCTTACAATCAACTGAAGCTCCCCTCCTTTAGGCTACGTCCACATGTGTAATTATATCGACACATTGGTGCTGTGAATTTCATAGATTAAAGATAAATAAACTTCTAACACTATTCAAACTAAGTGGAATACAGAAATGTATGGAATTTCATGAAACTGCTAAAAAATACTGATAAGAATTCCCAAAGCACTGATCATCTTCCATCAATTTTACCATCCAACGTGACAAAGCGATTTCCAAATGTATACCTGTCGTTCTGCCATTACCCTGGGAAAGATTATATCTATTGTATTGATTTTCAACAATAGGTATTAAAATGTCAGTGGCTATCGGGCATGTTTGGAAGTGTTTCGAACACGATAAGTGAACTGCAACAGCTGAGCTCACTATTATCATTTACAAATAACTTTTCCATTACACATGTCTCCATGACCAAACAGAACTTGTGATTTATATGAACAGAACCAGGACTTTGGGTGACAATTATGTCAGGCTAACTTAATAACACTGTCTGGACTTTTGAATGTTTAAAATATTAAGATTGAACTGACACCATGTTTTAGAGGTACAAGTTGCTGGTATTATTTACCCATACTCTCCATGTATACCATTAGGTAGGTGTTCTATATGATGACATCTAATCATTGTTGTTGCAGTACACTCTCAAATGGGAATTCACAGGCCATTCTGAATGTGAATTTTAGGAAACTGTGAAGTGAAGCTGACACAGCTATAGGTGGTTATGGACAACTAGGGAGAAAATATATATAATAATAACATGGTTTAAGTTGGCGAAATTACCTGAATCAGGACTTGAAACAACAGATTCAAATGTTTTTTTAATTACTGGGATATAATTACTTCTTTTTCTTAAGGTTATTTTGTCACTAATATTGTTTATTTCATTCTAACATCTGTTGGCCAATAATCCACCAGTTTGGACACTGGGGCAGAATTGGTCCCCAGTTTGAACTGCTTGTTGTTTCCTGGATCTTGCGTTTCACTTTGGCACAAACTTACATGTCCATATATAATATGACTGAAAAAATTGTTTAATGCTAGTCAAGCCAACAACTGAATACTTCGGTTGAGCAATATTGTCTATGTAATCTTGAACATTAACAGAGAAAAAAGCAGCTAAAAGTATTTCGTTCATATATTAGACCACCATTGTAATCTTATCTCCACATCATAAGAGTCTTTTCTATTTCCTATAGAAGAATGTGCATATCACAGGTCCCTGCCTCCCCTGTAAATGTTACTGTACACAGGCACGAGGCAACATGAAACTCTGCTTTAACTTGATTATTATAGTTGCGGTGATATAGCTGGGACATTGCTGACTGGGCCATAGAATACATAGATCAACATATACCCTTGTATATTCATACATGAGATGTACTTTGAATTGTTTAAATTACATTTCAGTCATCTTTGTCGCTGTTTGCATGTGTATCACTGCCAGGCCTGTTTGATACATCTGTCAAGTTTTGTAACATCCTCTTTAAACATTATACATTGCTGTAATTTCTTCCTGAAATATAGGCTTGTATGAAAATATAAAATACACATATAAATATATGATCTTTTTATTCATAAAATCTACATAAGAGAATTATTCAAAAGTCACTTTTGACTTTTAAACACATTTTCACAGTTTTAATGCATATAAAATATAAAACGTATCCCAAGGGGTAAGTTAAACAAAGATGATATATAGACAACAATAAATTTCAACCTATCATTGTCAGGATGGTGAATAAACGGGTATCATTTAATGACGGAGATCAGCTTCTTGATATGTTAATATCATGTACATTTCAAAAGTAGACGGACAGGGTCACATTTGAGAAGGGAAGAAATATCCAATGTACATGCTCAAAAAGTGTATCTCATACAATATTCGTCTCTAGTGCCAAAGATAAAACATTATCGTCTGAAACAGTATCAATCAGTCGTTTCCAAAACATACACTTTGTTTCAGCAACTTGTGAATATTCATAAAAAATGATGAAACATAAATACACATTTACAGCATGATCATACGTCATTCCATATGAATTAAGACTTATTGAAGATAAACTTTAAAAATGGTTTCTTCATCAGAAATTAACATCAGTCAGGATGTAAACAAACTTGTAAATGAAACCCTATGTGTGCATGATGTACATTTCTTTTCATCTAAATACACATACTGACTCTGTTTAGCCACCCAAACATCACAAAGTCTTTATTGGAATGTAGGCCACTCAGTGTATAAGATAAACACAGACAATCGCAAACACTTGTATTAACTTCAATGAATGATAAAAACACACCCTATGGACTTCAAACAGTTTAACCCACAGTTACATTTTCCCGTTCCCAAAAAGCTGAAGGCAGTATTGAAAAATGTGAGGACAAAGAAACATACAACTTTCATGTATTGTAATAAAGTCATCATTTAGGCTTTTGTAGATGTTACTTTGTTCACAACGGAAACACAAAAACGTAAGACACATTATGATCATAATGACATGATTGAGTGATTTAATGACTGACTGAGTGAATGTAGGATGTTTTACCCTGTGGTATCATTGTTGAACAAAATGGACACATATGATCTGATATGAAGTGATTTTCTGCGTGATTTTGCTTGATTCAGGAAGTGGATTGGCATTTGTATGGAACATTTCAATTGTTGAAAGAAATTAGGAAACAAGGACAATTTGGAGAGAACAATCAGAATTTTAGCATTTAGGAGAACTGTCTTGAAAATGAGAAGAAACAAGCTTGACAACTACCCATTTGTTTCCCGAGGAACCTTGCAATGGTCAGGCTATATATTGTGCAGATCAGTCTTAAACTAGAATACAGATATATACTGTCACATCCAGTATTACATCAGGCAATTCCAAGTTCTCGCACATATACCACCAACTCTTTACTTGCCTCACTCCTTTACAAACACATCCATTTGATAAAAATTATACACCAATATACCTGACAGGAATCCAAAAGTCTAGTCAATTCATACTGTAAATATCACAGGGTATATTTGTAAGACATATTATTTGCTGCCAGTCAGAAACTGACTAAAGCAGAAACATATGTCTTGATCGCATCCCAGTCTAATTAATGCCACATCCCAGACAGTCATCACATAACAATGTTGAGAAGAAACATGACATTTTGGCATGCAATCATTTTATTCACAAAATATGACAAAGAGTGATGGGTCCATCAGACACGCTTCATCTTCCATCCTCACTCTTCCATTAGGATGAAATGGCAGTGACACTAAGTATGTCCATGAGTAGTATGTCATTATATACATTCATGGACAACAGTAGTTGAAACACAAAAGTACATTTTACACTTTCTGGTGGTCTGGAGATGCTCTTGCTCACAGTGTACTCTTGCTCTGGTGTTTCTTCAGCATGGCCTTGATGGCCCGTGCTCTCATCTCCAGTTCCAGGAGCTCCATCTGGTTCTTGGTCAGGACTGGGGTGATCATGTCACCAGCCTCTGCTGTCTCCATCTTATGCTTCACAGACTCAGTCATCTCTTCCTCCAGGTTTTTCACATCTTCAGGATCCAAGCTCCTCAGGCTGGTAGCCTTGCCCTTAATTGATTCTAACTGAACTTCTTCCTCAACTTCCTTATCATCTTCTTCCTGATCTTCACTGTTACCTTCACCTTCAACTGATCCTTCTCCCTCCCCTTTATCCTCTTCATCCTTTTCTTCTACACCTTCTTCTTGTTCCTCCATCTCCTGATCACTGCCTTCGTCTTGGGGAGGTGTTCTCCATTCACCCTCTGAATCTTCTTCAATATCCGTCTAGAAACAAACAGATGATTGACATCAAAATGTCACTTAAATGCCTAGAATGTTACCAACATTTGCTGCTATTACAAACAGACTTTGTATCACACTCACCTGCTCTTCATCCACTAGGAGACCTTTCATCACCTCTGTCTTGTCTTGGCTAAAAGAAAGCAAGAGAGTTTTAAAGCAACTCAAACACAGCTAAACTCTACAGCATACTTTTAAACTTGGGTGATTTGAGATTTTACACATATAATATAAATATCAAACAAAAAAACCCAAAGATTAAATATAACTGATTCATCATACTTGATGAAGATCATTGTAAGATTATTAAAATCCATGACACACCGTCATTTTCAAAATGCTAATTTCGATATGGCAGCTCTGACAACCATGACATTTTTTAATCTGACTGGAATTAAAAGCAAGGAAATTTTAACAACAATACTACGTGTTCAGCTATGAAGTTCACATAGTGTGTCTACTTATATTAATTACAATTCATGATAACATGCTTCACAAAGCATGTAATGAAAATATGTAACATGATCAGTCATTTCATATTTTAATGTTAATAATGTATGCATGAATGTAGGCTGTTTTAAACACTGTTGTCATGTGACATGTAGCTAACAACCTTCAGGAATTTAAGAGAGCATGTAGTTTAAACTTAAGCAGCCTTAAGTATCTTCAGAACTTCACTGTATTTGCCCCTTATGCCAGTGGGAAGAAAAGGTCTCCAGCATCACATGCTTGTGATGAGGATAATGCCTATACAGTGACTAACATGACCCATTCACATGGTATATTTCTCATGCATTCAACCAGGATCAGAGGTCAGCTATTTAAGAGCAGGAATGCAACATTACTAAACATTATAAAGGCAACATTAACTTGAACTCTTAAACCAATCTTTGATCTAAGTGTGCTTGAATATTTCATTTGGTATGAAATATTGTATGTCGTGCAGAGATATACCATGTGATTCACTTGATTAAGCAGATTTAGTTGAAAACAATAATTGATAAACACTCACACATATACTGTCCCAGGCCCCATTCCCTGGAGTGTGACCCTAGTCCATCACCAATCTTGCTACGGTGAAAATTGAAAGTTACAGAACCCTGATCCCTGCTTGACATAGATCTGACATGGATTGCTTGGTAAGACTTTATATGTCACCTTGACTTGGCATGCAGGACCATTGTTCAAGCTATCAACCATTGGCTTTCAGGCTAAACTACTGGCATCAACAATGTAGGGGGAACAAGGCTGACTGCCAAGACAACAAGCTGCCTGTGCCTCTACTACATCGCTCACCTGTCCTCCTGCTCTGCCCCAGTCTGGGAGGTGGAGTCGGCTGCCTGCTGACCTGACTCTTCCACTCCATCTATAACACATGACAATATAAACTTATCGTCAAACAGTCATCTGTCTTATCCCAAGTTAACCAGCTTAGCTCACCAATACATCTGAATCTCAAAAGAAAACAAATTACAATACACCATTACTATCACCAGGCCTCTGTTTCACATGCATGAGTGAGTGAGTGAGCTGGGGTTTAGACCACTTTTAGTAATATTCCAGCAAAATCACAGCGGGGACACAAGAAATGGGCTTCACACACTATACCCATGTGGGGAATTGAACCCAGGTCTTCAAGCATGACGATCGGATGCTTTAACTATTAGGCTACCCCACGGCCCCCACATGCATGAAACATAACTGCAGAGGCACATTTGACCCCACATGAAGACTTGTAAACAGTGCCTAAATCAGACAGCTTAACCTCGTCTGAATTCAAAGATGAAGATGGGCAGACATGGTCAACACAATCAAGGAGTATTCATTTGTTGTAAGGCAATATCTCCACAACAATATACATATATACAAGATAGTTTCGTGATTCTAATTCCTCATCCATAGCTTATCATATATACATGCAATTGTCTTAACCCCTTTGTAATGTCTCCCAACATTTAACCTGCAGGTAGGGGCATGTTTCCAGAAGAAAACCTCCAAGTAACAGTAAAGCAAATGATCAGTGTAATAATCAATAACCATCTTAAGCTTAAACCGGATTTTCATCTTTTAGATGTGATGCCTAGTTCATCAAATAAGATAAATTATAATCATTCCATTAAACTTGATCAAAATTCAGGTCACATCTCCCAGACTGCAACATCTCTTGAATAAACACTCAGACGCTAAGATTGCACAAATACGTTCCAATATTTCACATATGAGAAGAATGCATACCAGTAAGATTTTAAGAACGCAGATAAATTCTTGAAGATTAATGTATTGAAATACCTCAGCTTTTCATTTATAGCCTGTGTTTTGGTTAATCAGTCTCAGAAAGCTTTGTCTGCTGGTGTGTTCGCACTGTAATTTACATTTTATTTATTGCATGGATGAACTTTCTGCAATTATATCGACTACCAAACTAGCTGTCTGGGTCACAGACAGTTTATTCCTCAATTATTTCAAAATGTTCAATTTCCTTGCACTGAAAAACTATTCATAACACATGGGACATAAAAACACTCTCTCACAGCTCATTTTCTAGCATGCCATTTTCTTCCCTACTGCTAAAATGCAGTTTATGTTGTACATCATTATAATTAATCAATTTCACTGATGTCTGTCAGATAATTTTCAAATTTATCAAACCATTTTAAGAGAGGCCACAGTTTAGCTAGAAAAAGCTCTGAATAGCAAATTTATTTCAATCGAATTTCACACCCAATATTTCAACATCTAAAGCATTTAAATTCCTTCATCTTTCCATTAGACTAAACATCAAAATAAGATAATATCCATGGGTTCAATTTGAAAGCGATTACATCCTGCGACATAAAAGGGCATTAATTGAGAATGCGCTAGAAAACTCTCAATACGAAATAAACACAAACGTCTTGAGCCTGTGGAATCATATAAGTTATTGCATTTCTAACACTTCAATTCATGAAAATTTCATAATCTTCATTTTATACTGCATGGCTTCGAAAATACACTATGATTACGATCACATCAGTGTTGTTTCTTTCAATTATTTCATTTATCGCGATTGAACGTAATCCACTTGACCGGCATCTAAAAGGAACGACGGCAACTTTGCCAATTCAAATACCTTTGATGTTACTGACTGCGATTGATAACTCCCACAAAGAAGATCTTAAATTTGATTTGCTACAGTTTCTATTTTCAGGAAGTGAAAATTGTGTTTTTTGTATTTCAACAATCAAAGATGATATCTGTATACATGCCATAACGAACAAACAATTTCTCCCAAGAGATGAATATTTGTGAATTTTCCATCCACTAGCACCATCCAATGAGAAGCCAGAACCGTAATGACTCCTGTTTTCAACATGGGTGATTTTACAACCAGATTGAAATTATAACATAGGGTGTAAAATGAAATAAATGATGATGTTGTTGATTACAGATATCAATCTGCATTGGCAGGTAAATTTCCATTTCATATCAGGTGATGACAGATCAAACCCTGTTTAAATGGACTGTTTTGCCTGGAGCTGCCAGAGATAATATACTCCTCAGACAATTCAAAAGTCACTTAGTGCTTCATTGGAATCAAAATTGATCTCATAATTACTCTGTCTTCCGTTTTATAATCAAAACTTCATCAGGAATGATAGTTCACTTTCAATCAAACTAGTAGGTGCATTTGCGATCAATAATTTATTGTCGTTTTACATGAACAAATATGATGAAAGGAAAGCTTTTAAATCAGAAAGTTACCTATTCATTATGTAAGCAGGTGTATGTTTGTAATCACAGTAGTGCATGGTTTCAATAAAGCTTTATGTATATTGATTTTATAGATGGTAAACATGCCAAATGAAGGGCTCCACAGTCATTATTTACTAACAAATATTAAATCTTTGAAATTTTGGTTCTGATGAAATAAAGAAGTTATGTCAAAATGTCATTATACAGTTGGTTCCATGTGATAGAGCCAACAATAAACTTCACAACAAGGTGATTTAAAATGACAGCCATACAAAACTCCTGCCTCAAAGGTTTACAAAGGACCTGTCTTATAGCTGGATCAGGGATATTGTCTTGCAACTGATCCAGAATATTGAAATGAACTTCCATCATTTCATCAAACAAACTTTATCTGCACACATTTTCAATCCATTTATTTTTTTATTGAAGTAACCTGTTATCAAGCAGTGAAAGCTTTGTAATGTAGGTCAACAGGTTTGTTTGAAATGAATTGTCGTTCTTGAGGCCATGATAAACCAGAACCTCAAATACTTAATTTTAAACTAAGAATCACATCAAAAGCACAGGCTTGGTCTCTGTGGGGGCGACATTTAGAGGTCCAATGATAAGCTATAAGCACACAAGTTTACAAATATGTTGAAAAAAGTAGCCGTGCAACATCAAAAAACCCAAAAACCCCACAGACAAGCCATGATCATATCAACTCTGCTTGTCCATTACCAATAGCGCTAATGTTTGGTGTCAAGTAGGGGACACCAGAAATAAGCTTCACACATTGTACCCATCTACCACATGAGGACTGACTGACTGAGTTTAGTTTTACGCCGCTTTTAGCAATATTCCAGCAATATCACGGCGGGGGACACCAGAAATGGGCTTAACACATACCACATGAGGATCAGTTGGTTACAATGTGTGAGCTGCCTGGTTATTTATCATTGTGCTGAGTTTCAGACTGTTGCTCACCAAGTCCATCACTAGTTGTCTTGACATAGGCTCAGGTAGCTTTATAGCCACTACTGGAATACTGGCAACGTGTAAACTGACAACAACCTATACTGAAAGGTGTGAGGGAGCTGCTGCAGTTATTGTGTATTGGTTGGCTGCTTATCAAGCAGGCTATACATAACACAATTCCTACGGCATCAGGGTTATTTATCATGTTTACACAGCCAACAAACATTTCGTGTAAGTCTCACAGTATCAATCTTAGGTTCTTATGAACCAAATAATCATTCCCTTAACATTTGCCTTTGAATATTTACATAAATATAATGAATTAAACCTGTGGTATATACAAGAAGCAATTTCATGAAGTTAATATCTTGAAGTGGCATGAGGGAATTTAAGTTAAGACAATCCGTGCACTGACACCTATGTTTCTGTGAATAAAACAACATCACCATTCCCATTCGTAAAGGATAGGTTTTGAATGTTAAAATCCTTTTAAATATCACAAATATATGTGCATTATTCTAAACAACTAACTTACATAATGCATGAAAAACATTTAGAAAAATTAAAAATTTGGTAACTATAACAACTGCACAACAAAAGTGGACACACATAATGGAAGGGAATGACAGCGTTAAGGTCATACAATTAGATGGCTTTTGTATGCGGGAGAAATTCCACTTCATTTAGTTTCACTGTTAGTGTTGTGGTCCTTGCAATGAAATGATATCGGTAGCATATCAACACAATACAACTCTCCCTGTCCACGAATAATCAATGCTTGTTGATCTGGACTGTCAAACAAGTAGAGACAGTGCTGATAAAAACAGTTCCTAAGTCAGATGACTGCTAAATATTTTCATTGATTCTCAATCTTGGACATATTTCCTGCCTTCTGAAGTACATCCTTCCAAACATTACTGAAACAGCATCTCCGGCCACACTGCATGACCATTTTCCACTTGTTGAATTTCAGCTACAAACATCAAAGAAACTGATATTTCAGATTCCAAACACCACTGAAAATTCATCTGACCCTTAAGTTCTTTTGAGCAATGTCTTTTACTTCTCTTTTGTCTAGACAAAAACAACATCCCACTTTTCTGATTTTTATTATCTTCAATCAACACTTTTATCTTTTATCCTGCCTCAGACGTCTGGAGTTTCAACAAAACAAAGCTCATAATTAGACCATATTCATTTCCGTCTTTTATGAACTAGTATAAAAACGGATATTTATCCCTGATAATAATCAGTTTTATTTTCTCTCCGATGTGATTATGCTATCAGCAGGACTGTAGGCAGATTTATAAACTAGAGGCAACAGCTTGGACTTAATTGTCAGTTAATAGGGTTTTCCTGAACCTACATAATCATGCCTAAAATGACAAAATATTTCCTTGCAAGAGAGACATATTACAAATAAAGCTATCAAATAGGAATACATGAAATGGGAAAAGTCAGCCTATATCTAAGATGGAAGCATTTGCAAGGTGTATTCACATTACATACATAATTAATCCGATAAACAATAATGATTGTAGGATTTGTTTAAGAGATGTTATGAAGTTGGCGGCATCATTATCAAGGCATGATGGTACAGTATGTCTACAATGATTGGGTACTGGTCACGCTTTAACCTTTCAAGTTATGTCATACTTGACACAAGAGCATAAACGT